CTATTGTATTGACCGATACCGATTCTGTCGAAAAAAAACTTCGAATGAAAAAGACAAATCGAAGTTTAGTCACTGCATAACAGGTTGTGCGAACTTTCTAATTTTCGTTGAATTTCGAAGACTGTCGTCGTTCTAACCGTACAATTTACTCATAAAGCGCGTTGCTTAAAGCGGAGTCGTATTAAACGGATGTACTTTTATAGTAATTTGTATAAAAACTAAACTGGAGGTTGCCTTTACGTCGCTTTAAGCCGTCGGTCGTTAAATGCGGAGTCGTTATAAACGGATTCTACTATATATAGATTTAGATATTTCTGATTGCGTTACTGGTATACAATTTTAATGTGTATTTAAGCTCACTTTATTTCAAGAAAAGACCATTAAAAGAAAAAAACTAAAACGAAACTAAAAGCTAGATATGTACATTTCCCTTCGTCCTTTTTGCGGTTCCATTTCGAGATATTTGCAAAGATGTGTGTTAGTCTGTTGATTTACACAAATCTTAGTACCACACAATCCAAGTTTCCTTTATGCACTTTATTTGATATAGAATTATCTTTGAAATCCAGATCCTCTAACGGCATGTCGATCACATACGGACATCCGTTGGAGATGGTGGCATTGTTGTTGTTGTTTTGGGAGTCATTTTCCAAATACCCATTAAGGCAATCACGAATGAGGCGAGTGGCTGCTCCGATCGATGTCAAGCCAGGATTGTAATGAGAATATAGACAGTTCACAGCAGTATTGATATAACTATTTAAACTGCAAATTGAGGACGTTATTGCTGTGGCAAAATTCTTACGATTGGAGATGGTATAGGTGTTAACTTTAGAAATCTAAAAAGAAACATTATAGTTATCCTGGTGCATATGATATCAGGCCCACGTCTACTTACCACTGATGTGACGCAAAGTGTGTAATTCAAAGAATTAAGATCGCTGTGTGTCTTAACACAATTATTCAAACCATTTTTCAAGTCATAATTGTAGTAATTCGACAACAAATTATAATAACTACTGGGTCCGTTGACAATACTGCTCACAGAGTTACGGGCGATGCTGATGCAGCTCTCAATATTAGACTTGACAGTTGTAGCGTATGGAATTTCTCCGCGGTACTGTTTTACGCAATACCTCGAAGGCGCACTGAGCGCCTCCAATGGATCGATCAATTCATTCGTTTCCTGTATTGTATTCAACAGCAGCACTTTTTCTTTGTCCAACACTTTCAACTGATCTTCCAGGCTGTTCTTGACGTTATTTATTTGATCCAGATAATCTTTGAGAGTCGTATTGTACTGATGACGGTTTTCACGGATGTAGTCATCTACATCTAACCAAACGCCATTTGTGCCACTTACGGCTGCCGTGGATTGTGAAAC